ACAATGGCCTTAGAGGCTTTACAGGAGCCTGCACCCAAAATGGGGTCTGGCTGCGGTTATTAGCCAAACATAGATCTAGACAGATTTGGTTTCAAGTTTCTCTGACAAACCTGCAAAGATGAAGCTGAAGAACTTTTGTGTGCCTCCTTTTATTGAGGAGTTTACCTCATGCAGTTGTCCCACTGTTATGATATTTTAAGCTGGCTATTGATGTGACAAACAGCAAAATCACAGCAAAGTCACATAGAATCATAGACTGGTTTGGGTTGGAAAGGACCTTTAAAGATCATCTAGTCCAGCCCCCACCCTTTGGGAAATTCATTTGACCAACATAGAAGCCGTTGATTTCTCAAGTTTATGTGTGGTATTTTCCAAACTATTTATTTCCTCAAGTTTCCATAACTGCACACTGAAAGGATGCATTCTCCTTAAAAGACTCTTATTGTGATTCCTAAGATTATTATCTGTGAAAGCAGTTTAAACATGAAGTAACAAGCACCCATCACATCTGCTGTGAGTTATGGTCTGTGTTTATTGTGCCAATAGGAAACAAAATGAGATCTAGTTGTATAAAGAAACATAGTGAATTCAGATACACTGCAAGTTGTGGGGAGATTCACAGAAAACCACATAGTATTTTCAGTAACCTTTTTTTTTTTTTTTTTTGCAATGCTGATGAAACAAAGATAGAAATGTCAGATGAGCTGCCCAAGCCACAGAAGAAATAATCATCAAAGTTATGGTTAGGATATAAGTGTATCTGTGCCTGTGGCTTGTGTCCAGAGCCCATAGGACCTTGCCCGTTTGTTAGACTGTACTTGTACTTTAAACAGTTTAGGTGAAACAGCACTTGAGAGATAAAATAATTGCACAGGAATGCACACTTTAATGACTAAATACAACCTTTATTATAGAAACATCAATAATGGAAAAATAAAGACCATATCTTACTTCTCATAGCAAATAATTTTTTAGCAACCATACATTATAGCAAGCTAGAAGTGATCAACCAAACCATCTTCATACACCCAAGATGCTAATCTACATCTCCCTTCCTCCTTCAACCAGAATTAACAGCTGTTTTTTAATTTGGACTTTGTCCATCCAAGAGCAAAAAGGACTGAAAGAAATTAAATCTAGCTTTATAAACTCCTTGGTGATTTGGCTAAGTATGACATCATCATGCTCATGGGATGCTCTTGTGTCTACCTTGGGTGTGCAAGAGACCGTAGTGAATGGTCTGGGCTGAGAGCTGCAGCACAGCATCAGGGAGCTATAGGGATGTGCTTACCTCCTAATTTCTGTGAGTGCCCCCACTGTATCCTGACCAGCGCATGCTTGCAAGCCAGTTAAGCATAGGTTCCCTGATGGGATGCATCATGTCACCATGATCAATATCTTCTGGTTCAGGGATGGGTTCATCTGAGGCCGCAGCTGAGGGAATAAATGAGCTGGGGCTGCTGAGACCAACATTGCTGGTCACTCTGGGACCCAGCTGCAAGCTTGTCCCCTCCCACAGCAGACTGTGCTCTTCTGTCAGCTCTCTGGGTACGTGGGCTCATGCTGACTATATGAAGGTTTTTGGCATGCAGATTTTTAGGGCAGGTTGGCTGGTAAACCCCTGTCCCAAGCAGTGAGCAGGTTGCTGAACAAGGGTCTGATTATGGCAAAGAGCAGTCCTGGAAGGGAAGCAAACTGCCAGGCTTAGAAAATACTGTTTTCATTTACATCCACATCGACAGGAAGCAAAGAAACTGTGCACTGCTGCCCGTGGCATAACTATTATGGCCCACCTAGTGTACAGCTAGTTTATCATAGGAGCATCTTCTTTCTATGGTGCTCTTTTAGGGACTTTTTGCTCAAAATGTTTCCTCAGACAAGGTGTTTAAAAGAGAAAGTCTGGCAGCCAAGACCAAGTACACCTATAGAGTCTTCCCACTGGGAGGAGGACCTCAAATCAACTCCATTAGATAAAAAAGTGCCAGCCAAATATCTACCTAAAATCTGGCAGAAAATAAATACAGGCATCAGCTTTAAAAGCTGCACATGGCAACTGAGGGAACAGCTGGGCTGTCTAATTCTAATTCAATGTTAAATTCAGAGAGGTAACACACCCTGCTATGCAGGCACGCTAACACGCATCCCTGCTGCAGACTGTTTGTGTGTTCTGTGGTGAGGGAAGCAGGTGGTAGCATGCAGGCTGGGCTTCAGGTGGGACAAAAGTTGCACTTAGGGTCTGGGATCTCCTGATGCAGTAAGGAATTCTCCAGTGGATTCTCTACTACTGTAAAGCCCTAACTCCACTGGATAAATTTTGCTACGTGTTGGCAGCATTTCATGGGAGCCTCCAATTGTTTCACTGGTTTATACCACGTGCACTTCACATGTGCCATTTAGAGCAAGCCCAGAGTATTATTCATCTAGAAAGGGCAGTATGCAGCTTCATAAAAATAGCAAACAAATAATAGCAACAAAAAGCATAAGAACAAATCAGGTAAACCTGAATCTGCACATTGTTCAATACCAACAGTTTGATTCACTGTAGAAAGAAAAAACTATGGGGAAAAAAAAAACATTAACCTTGCATCATTGGTAAAAATGCCAGAAGGTGTCACAAAATTAAACACAGAATTTTCAGTCATTAAGAACAGTTTTCTCTCAAGTTGATATGAAACATTAAAAGACTGAATATTAACATAAAGAGATTTTTCAGTACAGAACATAACAAGAACATGCTATATCCCTATCAGTAGAAGTAATAAACTGTACAGATCATGCAACCCAACAATCCAAAGAACATGTGAAACAGGACTTAGTTTTGAATGGGAAAGATGTCTACTGATCACTAGTCAAAACAGCTTAGGGTCAGATCATGTGCAGTGCTGAGCTTTTTAGGCAGCGTTGTAAAAATGTCCACATGTAACAGTTTGGGACAGTGACATCACTATTGCATACATAGGCTCATTTTTGAATGAAAGCTCTTCCATATATTTACCTCTCCTGCTGGACATCTCATCAATTCTCTTGTTTTAAAAAAAGCGAATGCTTTAATCGAGTATAAGAATCTGCTTTCTAAACAACAGATTAATAGTATTAACTAACCCTGAGAACTAGAGGGATCTTATTAAGCCAAGGGCCTGAACAATGCCACTGAGTTCAGCGGGTTGCTTGTCCACTAACCGGGGGGAAGGAAGAAGGGTGAAAACAGATAAAAGTTCACTGAGAACTATTAACAGTGCTGGAGCCTTTTACAAAACACGTGTGTACACGTGTGTGTGTGTATGTGTACATTTGTGCATATGTTTAGCTTTGTAAATCTTTTGTGACAAAGAGATTTTCCTTGTTACAACAAAGAACATTAGCTGAACTTAATCTCAAAAGCAATTACTACTTTCATGCCTTCATCATTGGCTTAGCAGGAAATAGACTAGAGTGTATCAATTAGTGTGCTTTAAAGCAACTCCAAATTATTTCCCTGTGAAAATCCAGCTGCTCAGCTGTAAGCACACTGGATAGCATTCACTATAGGGCAGAGTTCGTCCTAGGCCTGTATAAGCTTTTATTTCTCCCAGAAGCCTTGAACATACAACGTCAGTGGATTTCTATTTGTTTGTGGACCTTGTGCAGGTCTGCAACAATTGTGGCCACTTAATCCCTGGCATTTTCGGTGAGTGTGATATCCTCCCGGATTAAGAGAGATCCCAGTGCTGCCATCTCAGTAGAGGGACAGTTACTGAGTTCAGTGGCAGTCACTGTAACAGGTCCATGTCTGAATAGGAGGTGGGTGATTCATGAGCTCTCACAAGACCATGAAGTATTAAGCTGCTTGAATTTATTAAGCAAATTCACACCAGTCTCCATCAACTGCACTGGCATCCTTAGCACTGGCCCACGTACCACAGTGCTTTCAAACCCTCATGTCAGCTTTCTCCACATATTGTGTTGCAAAACTGTGGCAAAGGGATGCTGTGCCTGGAGCACCGATTGAGAAGTGGGGTGGCTTGGCCTGGTGTGGCAGGTGGATGGAGTTACTGCCTCCAAATGCCTGCCCGGTTCTTCTGCACGGGCATCCCAGCTGCCTGTCAATCAGCTTCTGAATCATGCAGTTTGCAGCGTAATGCTTCAGGATAAACTTACCAGCGTCAGATTGCTCTAATGTGCTGTGCTTTATGAGGCTGCAGTTCAAGAATTATTGGCAGGAAGTTCAGACATCTCTGCAGCAGGGCTGAGACAAGCAATGACAAGTGATAATTTTGGCGCATACTGGTCAGGCAGACCCTGTGTGACCTCAGTTGGGTAATCTCTTATTTGCATACACAGTCACTGGTAACTAGAAAATTTTCAAAAAATACTGCCTCCAGAGTAAGAGTCACATATTACCACTGTGTCCTTGCAAAGGGCTTAGCAGGAAAAAAACCAAGAACTTACGAAGTGTAACCCTGTTATAGGACTAGTGAGAACTTGCTCGTGAATGAAAGTCTCACTTAGCCTTGCCCTAAGACGCCAGCGTACGCAGTGTTCCCACAAGGCTTTCACTGAGCTCTGGTTTAACAGGGTTGTCTGTAGCTGTGGACCTCTGGTTTATTCACTTGATGGTCATATTACTGGACCCATCTATTTTAATAAATCTAAACGCTATCTTTAACAAACCTGATGGATTTTCTGGGGGATAATGATATTGCTTGCTTTAAGCTATTTTTAGGCATCTGACTTAGGTGGTCTGAATTGCCTCCTTTGTTGATAATACAAAGAATTTAGGCGCCTCGCTTTGGTCCTCTAAACTACACCTAAATCAGACGCTAAGAATAGCCTAAAGTAGATGGTATGAGTTCTCTCCTTCCCACCTTAAAGAAATCGCTTTCGGAAATATTCATTAGCTTTAAACAGATGGTGTCATCCCACTTGAAAATGTGGCTTCAGGGAAGTGAGATTGCCAGGTAGAAGCTAGAAGTCCTGTGACTTCTCTACTTGCTACACACATCTGGAAGTACAAGGGCACCTCAGATACGTTCATATCCTCTATGCGGCTTTCTTCTGGAAATCAGGAAAGTGACAAACACAATGACAAACAATCCCAGGATACTCAGGCCCACTGCAATGGGAGCTGCTTTGCTGTTTTTATCAGGAAAACATTCTTCTTCTGAAAGTAAAAGGAGATCAGAGAATGTGTTACAGCAGAACACTGTACTCCTAGACTATACATCTCTATTCCAGAAAAGTTAGCAAATACAAGCCAGAAGTTCTCAAAACCTTGTTTTCTTTTTTTTTTTTCCCTGAGCTATACTTATCACATTTTTGTCTGTGATGAACCTTATCTCAAGAAAACAATACTTGCCCCTTTCGAAATTGCTACATGCTTCACTGGAGAATGACTCTGCTCTTTCATGTCTACAGTAATTGTTTTACCATCAAGACCAGTGCATACACAGTAGGAGGCTTTCTTGCTGACAGCAGATGTGGAGCATCACGCTACAAAGTGCAAGTCTAAAAATAAAGAGCAAGACACATCCTGCATGGACAAAAACTGCTCCTATGTGGCATCTAATTGCTTCTGCCCAGTAAAAAAGGATCAGGCCAGAGAAAGGAGCCCATAGTCCAGCACATCATTAGAGCAGCAAGGATCCTAGTTAAGTCAGTGTTTCCTAAGAAAAATCAAATTCTAATTGTTCTCTGTGTTTAATTCAGAATATTTCTGGATAATTGTGGCTAACTCAGAACATCAAGAGATTAGGAAGGCAGAAGCTTTGGACTTAGTCCAGGGGGTTGTTTTAGCAGTACCATTGTAATTTTATTGTACATATGATGATATCAGAAAAGGTTTTGACACAAATAATATCTTTTAAGAACCATCCAAAGATATATTCACTCCAAACATACCTCTTAGCTACAGAAGGGGCAAATCCTGACTTCTTCAGCCAGTTCCTACCAAAATGCATAGTCAAGTCATCCTCTGATTAAATGGAAACTCATTACTTAAAAATGAACTTCCAGACTGGGGTAAATTGGTGGCTTTCCTATGCAGAGACTGCACCATCTGGGTCACTGACATAAATGGAATATTCACCCAAGTAACAATGGCAGTATCAGTCTCAAATTCACAATACAACAAGCGTAGCCCTGGGAGTGAAGGCAAGGTCTGGGAATGATCACTGATGTGCTACCCCAGAACTGGATCAGACCTACATCTTCCATCTGATCTATAGGAATGGTCCTTCCTCGGGCTCCAAGGAAAGAAAGACCTCTAGCATGATGCTTTGAGTGGCACCTGAGTAGCAAACTATCCTCTAAGTAGGGTGGCTTGATCAGCTAAACCCCAGAGTATATCCCAGCTCAGCAGTGAATCCAGTTTATACCCAGGTATGAGGGAGATCCAACGCCCTCCACCCCTTTCATTTCTGTGACTATTCCAAGGCAGATTTCGACAGTGCTTTAAGACAAGAGCCTCTGTTGTTATTGTCTAATTCTGATGACCATGCTGGCACAGATTGTAGCTTAGCTTGGGCTTTTCCCCAGGCGGAATCTTTACACCGACAGCAGGCAGTTAGCCCAGGGAGCATGTGGAGTGCATGACATCACATCACAGCTCCAGAGCCCCCACACAGCTTTCCCCAAAATCTGATCCTCCTCTTCTCTGATCCAGATGGTGATTTCATGTGATGCAATGCCACAAAGCCAAAGGCATCAGCATTCTACAGCCTTTTAAAAGCTTTGTCTGGTTAATGTAACCTGCTGCTAAGGAAGTAAGCTGAAAAGTATTTGCATTTGAGTACTGCAAAAGCCAGAGATGTTTGAATTGGCCATTTTGCTTTCACGAAACCTTGGGCTATGAACTAGAAATTGTTTCTGCTACACTGAAATGCAGTTCAGAAGACACTTTTACCGCTTTCCAGACTCAAACAGGCCAAGCTATCGATGTAATGCTGCTGCAGTCTGTACAAAATTGTAAGGAACTTGAAACCGATGATCATTATTGTTTTCTTTTTCTTCCTCTTTTAAAGATAAGCAAATCAGGAGCAACAGAAGTGAAACTACCAGTCTCAAGACACCTGAGGGCAGGAGGCTGGTGATGTGTATAGAGTCATTCCTTCACTGGGGATTTTGTCTTTCAAAATCTGCATACACAGCAGAGGTACGTAACAGTTTCATAACTATTTCATGGCCACTGGGGAATTTTTTCAGAGGTGGTAGCTGCTTTCTCAGCCCTTTGATTAAGAGCAAAACTAATTTAATTTTGTATATGATATTGATTAGCAGAGATTAGCCTGACCTGAGGGGGTGGGGGCTGGGAGGGGGAGAAAGAGAGAGTCTTTCTAAGCTCTGTCTCTGCTAGAGGTGAGGCCATACCAAAAGCCATAACTGAACTCATTCATTGTACAAATTCAAATGGGAATGTGGGGACCAGATGCATTGTTCCAGCTCAGTGTTATCCCATGAAAAAAATCTTCATGAGAATGAGAACATGGATTGGATTCTCAGTGCAGCTTTTAAGAACTTAAAGAAAAGTATGCAAAGAAAATGGTCCATGTCTTTAAAAAGCCCCAAATGTTGTTTCCCATTATATTCCTTTTAGAATAAGAAAGGCAGCCAAAATGGTGAAGTAACGAAAGAAGAATCAGTCAAACAGAGCCAAACTGAGTCAAAAGACAGATCTAAAATAAAAAGAAGAATACAGGGGCAATATTTTGTAAGCATACAGAAAGTCAAATCTCAGAAGAAGGGAATGTTTTATTAGTGCATCTGAAGGGCTGGAGAACTGATAAGCCTATCTTTCCACCTGAGTTCTTGTATGGAAACACCCTGAGAGGAAGTCACAGAAATGTGAAGATGTACAGTTTGAAAGAGACCGCAAGGTCCAATCTGGTCTACCTCTCTGCTTTTTGTAGGATCTTTCATGCATCTCATAAGAAGTAAGGCAGTAGACCGTGAGAGTGTTCATACTGTGGGACATGGGAGTTTCCTGGTGCACCCAGCAGTCCTGGACCCCACAGCCCAGCCAGGTCCTGGCTGCATCACTGGACAAGAAACAAGGATGGCAACATCTCATTTCCCTGTGGCAGGAACCCCAGGTGTGGGTGTGGGGAAGAAGTTGTGATGAGCCCCAATACGTTCTCCCAGTGTCGGCAATCCAGAGACCAGGGGAGTCAGTACTGTTCTGTCTCTGTCTTTTACTAAGCTACATAGTTGTCTCTTTGTGGCTGTACTCAAGAAAAGACAAATTGCAGAGATGAGCATCACATATAATTCTGAAACTGGGAGCATGCCAATCATGTTCCTCCTCAGGAGCACACTTCATCATGTCTAGACACAGCTGCTCTGAAAGTATCATCCTGCATTCACAAATATCCCTTATTAGTTGGCAGTTTTGCTGCTGCAGCTGTGGGACATCATAAGTGTCAAGAGCCTTTCAAAATAGCTAAAATCTGACTATATTGAGAACAGTGACCTTGAACTTAACTGTACATATTAGGGGTTTGGGCAATGCAATGGTGGTGAACACACCTCCGCTTGCTCTGGGAAAAGATGAGTGAAGAATAAAATTGTGCCTGTAGAACTGAACATTTTTAATGAGAAGGTGAAACAGAAGGTACTGAATGCAGGAGGGAAAGATACATTTCCATCTTCCATAGGTATTACCACTGTGTTGAAAATTACTCAGAAAAGGGTGAGAATACAGCAGTAAGCAGGTTACATTATTTGGCAACTATTACAAAGCTGTGATTGTGCTATAGGTGTAACAGGATCACCGCACATGTATGGTTATAATCTATCAGACTATATCTATCAGGCTACCAGAGTGCTGACATGTAGATCTCAGAAGGGTGGAAAAGGTAACCTTCTACTTACCTTTTCCAAACTGGTTACCGACAATATCAAACGCCTGCAGCTGCATATTAACAAAGAGTAGCTGGAAGTTCTTCTCCAAGGTGAAGGTTTGCTTGCTAGCACACTTAAAGGAATTCCCCAGCTTTGTTGTAAACATCTTCTCATGTATGGCTGCATAGTAAAGCATACCTGGAAGGCATAATGAGAAGGACAAATGAGAATCCACACGAACTCTGTTGGAACCAACGTTTTTCTGAGATAAAATGGAGGATCCCTGGTGCTTTGGCAGAGCAGCAGTCACACATGTGTCTAAAGCATGGATGTTTTCCCCATAATGTATCAGTTACATTTCTTCCATGTTTAAATGGAAGAAATAATTAAATGGCTTTAATTATCAATGGGCAACTCAGCTGAGCTTGGGTCTGAAAAAGTGGCTAAAATTTCGGATGCTTCTTCAAAATATTTTAACAACCTGAGCCTGCAAGAGGGGGTTAGGATTCTCACAGGAGAAGACAACTATCTTAGATCCCCAGCATGGCTATTTCCAGACAAAACAGAGATACCATCTCTAGCATGGGAATTTGACATATCTAGTCTGTATTGCTTTATGTATTAAATATGTTCTTAAACATATTTCAGTATCACAGTACTTTACGGAAAATATGGCTCAAGTTCAAAGCATGAAAAGATCACGTAACCTGGGCATATCCTTTATGCATATCCTCCTTTGAAAGCAGATATAACAGTTTAAGACAAAAATCATCCACATCACCAACTCTGCATCATTGTACCTCCACCACATCTGCCAGCACAATAGTGTGCAGCATACTCCTGGTCCTCTTCAGTCAAAGTCAGTACACCAGTGTGTACTGATACAGTTAATTCAGTAATCTTTATCTTAGAAAAGATATGGGCTTGCTCACTGCAAAAAAAACCCCTGCTGGCAGACTGAAATGACAACATCTGGCAGAGAGGCAGTAACAAATAGCCATGCGTAGCAATGTCTCTTGCCAGCACCAGTATGGAGGACTCTAAGTATATTTGAGGATTTTAAAACTTATGATTAAGCCGATTAGTTTGTATTTGCTGCAATTTGCATTTAGCAATGCACAAGAAAACTCTGGTTATTTAGACTGAGAACATCTGTAGGAGACATGTCCTCTGGATCAGCTTTTCTTTTACTTTAATTGCTGTAGTTCAGAATAGGAGCCACTTGAGTTAATAAAAGTGCTCATCAGTGAGAAGAAAAATAGGCACTGAGCTTCCAAAAAGCTCAGTGCTATTAGGACACACCTGATCAAGCTCCTGATTTGTTTTTCTTTCAGGGACAAAAGTCACTTCAAAGACTTGAGTAACAAATGGAGAAGTGACATAATATGGTTGTTTAACCTATCACAGATTTGATATATTTGGACAAATTTGTGCAAAATTAATGTCAGAGAAAATCTGAAGTGGTGGCTCAGAATTTTTCTCTCTGACCTAAATGATGTTCTCTTAGGATTTTTGGGGCCGTAACTTCTGGGCCAGCTCCTGTCTGTTCAAATGGAAAGAATCAGGTCTATATAAGAAAAAGAAAATCTGATCACCTGACAAAAGTATGGACAAGGTCTAGGATTTCAGAATGGTTTGAAGAACCTCATCCTGGGTCCAGTTCTTATTTTTGCCAAACCAGAATGTCAGACATGCCTCTTCTTCATACTGGTGTATTTGAAATCTGGATCCACCTCTGCATTTCTGTGATCCAGATACTGTATTCAGTTAGTTTGCTTATTAGATTGGAAAGATGCATGCAACTGGACTGGAGTCACAGCATTTTTGTGTGTTTGCAGATAAAAACTTTGAGGACTGTTTTGTATCTTAAATTTAGGTTTGAAGTACTCTCTATTTTGAAAGAGGTGGGGCAGGGAAAGTTTTTGAGGATAAAAGGAAAATGGAACAATTCTGATGAAACTGCAGCCCAGTCCCTTCTCTTCCATTTTTCATACCATAAGATTTAGGTGAGTGACATGTTGAAAGCCTGATAAACACATAATTTGCAAAATCCAGTGTTTTAAAGATATGAAAGCCTGCTCCACACCCAGAACAGTTTGATATGAAATTAAGACAGTGTAAAATCACTGACCTTCAGAAGATAACTGTAATCTGGCCTCAATTTTACTGACATAGTACATTGGAGCTTGCTGCGAAAGAAGAGATATCTTTATTCATAATACATCCTCATATTTGTGAAAAAAAATACAGTTCACCACAGCAAAATGTTCACAAATAATTTCCCAAAGAAACACATTTTATCACACACTGCTCAAACTAGACATTTGTGTGGTGATACTTGTGGTAACCAAAAGTAGGAGGGAGTTAAGCAAACAGTATACATTGCACAAATTAACTGGCATGTGATAAGACCGTTTTATTTTTATTCACCTGTTCTGCTTTTATTGAGAGTCCCTACAGTGCTCTCCTGAGTAATCCTGCACTGAATTAATCCATGCTGACCTGCAGTCTGCCTGCTTGCAGGACCTAAGCCCACACCTTTAGAAGTACTTGGGACTCCAGGTGCTGCAATGCACTTTATGAATAGATGCTCTTTGCGTGAGCAAACTGCAGAAAGCAGCAGTGCTTCTATGTTCATCATATTGTTTTGAACTGGGAGAGGTCAGCAACAAGCTGAGAGCCAGGAGTACGTGCTCATGCTAGTACCACTCATTTCCTATTTTGTCTGCCAACAGCAGTCACTACAAATGAGAAAACATCAACCTGGATGTGTAGGGGAGAAATAACTGTTCCTTTCATCCTGCTGACACTGTTGGTTCTGGCTGGCTTTTTTGTCGTACGCGCACAGACTGCTGACATGGAAAGCACCTGGTACAATAGCACAGAGCAAAATTTCCAGCTAAGTGTCCTGCCTGCAAGTGCCCTAAAACCCTGGTGCAACCTGAATGCTGTCCTCCCCTCAACTGTCACAAAGTGAGGGCCAGCCCTAAGAGCTTTTCCCTGGTTGCAATGTTGGAGTATAATATAAGTCTTTATGTAGCAGCCCTACTAGTCATTTTAATTCCAGCTGTGAGCACACAGGGACTGGTGAGTGCAGCTGGTGGATAAATCACAGCAGACATGAATGTCTCCTGTGCAGCCAGTTTTAATGTTATGCAGTTTAAAAGGTGGTAGGGTGGATTGGGAAAGTTTAAGAAAGAAATACACCAAAGAAGAGGTTCTCAGCATTATTCCTACTTTAAGACATAAATAGGTCAAATATTACCATTTTTTTGGCGGCAGCGCTATGTTCTGTTTGGCCACGGTTAATAACTTTGCTTGGGGAAAACACCTGCTCCTACTTCACATCTTGTGGGTTGGTTACAAAACTTCCTTTTTTCAAGTTCTTTGCAAAAGGCAGCTGGCAGTGGTGAGTACTGAGCCAGCCGCTCACCTCCTGCTACCCCGCACCAGCACTGCAGCCCTGGGGCCTGATCCAGCTCCTCTTTCACCGGTGAAAATCAGAAGTGCCACCACTGGAGCACTCCTGGTTCAAAGCAGTTAAGAGAGGCTGTGGAGGCTAAACACGTAAAAAACAGCAGCAAAATTATTTCTTATTAACTTGAATTTCAAAGCAGTCTAAGCCGAGCCCTGCTATGCTCTTGAGGCTTATCTTTAAGTGAAGGGTGGATTGTCTAATGCTGTGCCAATAACCACCTTTTTCAGGGCAAGACAGGTCAAGTACCTCCTAAAGGTTCACATCAGTCTCCTTAGCACTGCTACAAGCTGGGGCTTTCATGGGTACTTGAATCACCAGACTTTTTCTAAGGATCCTTGTAACACAGAAAATGCTCCCCTTGTTGCAGGAAGCACACATTTAAAGAAAACACTCATGGTCTGAACTGATCCTTTGTTTTAAAACAGCTCCTTGATTTTTTACCTCACTTTTCCTCTGTAGCTTTTAGAAAACTTTCTGCCATAAACTAAAATCAAGATGATTATTAATTGATATCTTTTCTCTGCTCAAGCATTAACGACTCAGGTGTGGCATAGTTTGCTGTTTCCTCTTGGACTTTCTATGGAAGTGACTGATTAACCATTTGTCCTTTTCTTAATCATCACTGATTTGAGCTCAGAACTAGGATGTAAGGTTGACATTTTGGCTTGATTAATTGAAGGACACAGAGCAGCAGTGATAGCCCCAGCAGCCTGGTCTAGTGGAAGGTGTCCCTGCCCATGGCAGGGGGGTTGCAACTAGATGATCTTTAAGGTCCTTTCCAACCCAAACCATTCTATGATTCTATGCAGCTCTGAACTGCTGTGGAGCTCCAGGACATGCATGTTACACTCAGAGTTTGATGGGATCCAACCTGTGCCATATTCCTCCCTGCCCATTAATGACTTTATACACAGTATTAACTTCTGTCTTTAGCCCTGCTGGCATCACCACCCAGCCCTTACTAGCCTTCATATAAATAATACTGCATGCTGCCTCCCAGAATGTGTAAACTGTGTAAATGTCTGAGGAAGCAAGAGGATGGCTGCACTCGGCAATTTTCTCCTGTGGTTAGAATAGCAGCAGCACTCTTGGTAGCTTATGTTAAAGCCTCATCTACATAGGATGCAGTCCCAGTGGGGAACGTGGTACCAATAGACACAATGTCAAAAAAAGAAGCTTATTTTCCCACTGTTAGCAGGGCTTCTCTCTTGCCCAAGGTTCTGTGTGTACTTATAAGTCTCCCTGGTGTGGTGCATTTTAGGGGCACTAATCTACAATTTTGTTGTTGTAGTTCACTTGTTTGGAATTTTCCACTCAGAAAGGAGATGAAATTAGGCCCCTTCAGCTGTGGATGGGCCGCAGCTCCTGGGCACTTAAAACCGTACAGGCTGTCCTTTAGATTTAACAGCCACAGCTGGCTTTTGGCCAGACAGTTGTGATACTTGGCATTTATGGGAAGCAAATGACTAACCTCACCTGCATTCAGGTGGTCCCTGAGACACCATTTCGTAAGAGCAATGTGATAGTGTGAGTCAGAACTCCTGGCACACACACTTTGTTCCTGCGCAGGGACTCCAGTCCCGAAGCCATTCCCTCTGTCCTGCATCAATGCAAACAACAGACCTGGCCTTCCCTCTCACTAGACTTTTGCCTATGTAAAAATGAGATTCAGATTTTGCTGGAGGCTGTTTCTAGACTTTGTGTTGCTAGATGGGGAGCTTTAACACTGCTACCCATCTCTAGCACTTTCTGTCAACGGATGGCAAGGCACTGTACCTACCCTTCATAGCACATACGAACCTTTCCAAATTGAAAGTTCAATCAGGCAAGACCTGATTTAACGTTGAAGTTAGCCCTGCTCTGAGCAGGGTGTTGGACCAGGTGGCCTCTAAAGGTCTTTTTCAACCTGAATTAATCCGTGGTTCTATGATTCTAGCCTCTTGGGAAGGACAGGAGTAATAGCGCCTTATATGCAGGTGGAAAACTAGCATAGAGATGAATGAAATGCCTTTTCCCACAGCACAAGCTGGATCAAAGGCAGCCTAAGTTCCAGCTCCCCAATTCTAAACACTCCTTCCCTCTAAATGCAACAGTTACCTTTACAAAGGTGAAGTTTATAAACCCTCCACTGAAAGTTATGTTCAGTTCAGACTGCACTGTCCCACAGCTTCCAGATGTCTGTGTCGCATTGGGGTTGACAGTCATGTACTCCATCCCCTTCTGTGGAGAGAAGAGACGTTGCAGGGCTGCTTATGAAGAGGAGGGGAGAAACTTAATAAGAAACACACAGAGATTTATAGCTGCTTTTTTTTTCTTTTTTTTTTTCCCCTACAGGTTTTGTGTGGCTGAAGGAACAGGCTGGTAGTGGCGGCAGCCTAATTGCTGTCTGCCAGGGTCATTCCCCACTCGTAAACTAGCCCTAGTGCTTGTCTGACACATCACCGAGCTGTTCCAGTGCATTAAGCTGGCAGAAAATAATAGTTTTCTGCTCATTTGGTGAACTGATATGATTCAGAGCAGGGTCAGATGAGCACCAGTGGTAATTTAAAAAGAGGGAGCAGTGGCAACTTGCGCCTGAAGGCAGAAGAAAGATCAAGACAAAGGCAGGCAGGGGTTAGATTGGCTTCAACTTATGTTGCTCCTCGTATCACCCCTGCCTCCTCATTATGTCCTTCACAGTTCACCTCTAGCATCTGCCAACCCACGTTGTAGTCTGAAAGGAGAGCTCTGCAGCTCTGAATACAGTTTGGCTCCTTCAGTCTTATCTCAAACACACCTCACTTTTGTAATAAACATCTCACTGTGGTCTGATAAGGTTGGGAACCATGCTCCCTGCCTGGCTTCTGGCAGGACAAGTGATGAAAATTACTTTTACCAACATTAGATACTCCTCCCATGTTAGAAATATTCAGACCCCAAACAAGAATATTTGGATTTGTAATGGGGATGTCTTGAGGCATATGAACTCCAGAGCCTGAGGATGTAACCCCACATATTGTATTAATGGAGGTTACAAGACCATAAGTATGAGGGATATAATCACCATTTCGGGTTTTATGACATCTTTTGCTGCATCATTCACTGTGGATCACTGCTAGGAGGGGGTACTAGCTCCCCAGGACCCCTGCTCTGATCCAGCCTGGCAGTTCCTGTGATCCTAAAATCTCCAGGCATCTGCATCAAGACAACTCACCTCTGAAGCCAAGTCTGTGAATTGACAATTTCTTGCTTTCATTGCAACTCGCAATGTCAAGCCTTTCACTGAAGTCAATTCAGATTCCCGTTCTGGGAAACACAAATAATGCTGAAGGCTGATCTACCCCTTCAGTATTGCTACCACACCTACATCACTGAAATAAGAAAGCGCCTGCACGTCCCATTGACATCATCACACAAGCCAAAGTACAGCAGCTGAGATGCTGTGGCACAGAAAAGCCCTCAGACTGATAGCAAACCACTTGTTTTTATCATACAAGCTCATGTCTGAAAATTGCATTGAAAGAAGAAGAATAAATTCCAGCTAATGAAGAAACAGTCATTACAAAGCTCAGCCTTGTAGTCTTTCCACCTCACCTTCTGTGTATATTGAGCGATCAGCTGCAAACCCATGACTGCTTTGATGCAGGTCCTGTTCCCATTGGAAACGGTGTATGTGCCAGTGGGAATGGGAGAAGGCTGCGGTGCAAGAGTGGGTCTCACCGTCATCATAGTAGATGGGATGGTTGTTTGAGTCCCTGGACGAATGGTTGTTGTGTTGATCATGGCTGTGGCTGTTGGACTTTTAGGCGCTGTTGTCTGATTTCCTGACCCTGTGGTGGGCTTTACAGTTTGCCTGGTGGTGGGTATAGTAGTTAGGGCAGCAGCCGTCATTTGTGTGTTTCCTGTTGTACGTTTTATGGTTGTGTTTGTGGCTGCCGCTGTCATTTCTGTGCTCACATGTGTTCTGGCTTGCTTGGTTGAGGACATAGGGTGCATGGTTGTGTTCTTCGCTGCAGGAGTAACTGTTTCGATTGCCTGGGTTGTAGCCTGACCAGCTGCAGTCGTGTTGTCTGCTGATGTTGTGGATACCACCACGGGAGATTTCTGGCCGGTCACTTGTATGGTGGTTGCTCCTGCCCGGGCTGTCGTGTGATGGTCTGGTTCTGTTGTTACCTGGTGCTGGTCTGTTGTCTGCACAGTTGTTCTATGGCTTATGTGTGTTGTTTTAAGAGAGTCTGTGCTGTTGAAATGAACTGTGCTGCCTTGATGGGCTGAAGAATGATAACGGGAAAGTGGCTGAGCAGAAGTAGCCGTCTGATGGAAGGATATGGTTTCTGGAGACAGTTCAACCCCCAGAGCCACTTCAGCAGAGCAGGAGGAAAATGCTGCAAAGAAACAAATAAGTAGTAGTCTAGAAACTTTTACCTTTAACATTTCTGTTGATAACCACAACATAACTGCACTGATTTTGTTATCAAGTGGGTGATATGATTTTATTCTTCATTTGGCTCCAATCATGATAGGAGAGTGAAGGCAGACATGCTGTAGGACTATCCATAACTTTTCACCCTCCTCCTAATCTTCACACCTCTGAATATACCCATTGCAGTGGAAGCACATTGGCTACCAGCTCCTCACATGGTGCTTTTACTGCTGAAGAAGCCAGAGGATGCTGGAGGTGTGAGCAGACCTTGCACAATCCCCAGGCAGCACAAGAATTCCCTTGCAGGCAGTAGTACAGCAAGATTTGCTAGAAGCAAATTATCAAGATCTAAGGAAGATAAAGTGGGTGTAAGAGGTGAAGGGGTGGTTGGTTACTTACCAACAATGCATGGGGAAAGGGAACATGTTGTGTGTGTGGAGGAAGTGAAGCAGCATAATGATCTTACAGTGATTCACAATAGTCTGGGACACCAGTCTGTGAGACAGGGAAATTCCAGATATTTATTTTTGGTTTTGTTGTAGCCATGCCAGCTTGAACCCTTAAGTTCTTCCTCCTGGGAGGTACCCAAGGGGATGCTCCAAACAAGGAAAGTCCAGCCCTCTCAGGGATGGGCTTTCAGCAATGAGAAACAAATGTCAGGGTACAGCATCCAGGGGCATTTTGGACCACATCTGAAAATAGTCACAGCACCAAAATTACGCTTCCATCTTACAACATTTACAGAAACTTGTCCCTTGCAGAACTGAAAAGAAAATATCTGGCTCCTAAATGTAAATAAGGAAGTGAAGAAAAAGTGGGAAAAGTACATTGCAGAATAGATGAAGGTCACAACTCTTCTGCTTGAGTCTTTGATTGTGAGTATGCAACAAGACTCTGTAAAGAAAAGGTCAAGATAAAAGAAATCATAAATCACTGACATATATGAATTCCTTCATGTGCATGAAGCTTCAGGTGTAGTTAAATGCTTTACTGCCTAAATTAGCTGGAAGACAGAGATGAATTCTACAGTTTGGAGACTGAAGGGACACAAAAGTCCAAGATAGCTCATATTCCTAGCAGTATGGCTCCACAGAGGATGCCACAACATGTTGTCTGAGAAGTTTATTGTACGCTGGTTCTTCCAAAGAAATTTCTCATGAATTGGTGTCCAAGGTTTGTGGCAGACAGATTGCTGAGATTCAGATTTTAGGATCGATTAAGGCCAGAGGCACATTCAGAATGGAAGCGGCTGAAATTTCACAAGCTCCTCGTTGTTTTATTTATTTATTTTCACTCAGCATGAAGAGAGACCTGCAACAATTGCTGAATTCACAAAATCTCACCATTTTAGCATACATCTGAACTAAATAAGAATAATAAAACCTACTGGGTTTTGAATCAAATTCAAGATCAAAACCAAAGAAGTGAGAACAGATGTATAGATCTGAACCCATACCACAATTTTCCCTTAAAAATGGCTATGCTAGACAAGAGCAGAAGTGTAGATGTATACTCCGTGTTCCTAAAATTGCCTAGGTTTCACCTCTGTGCTGTACAGAATATACTTGACTGCCAGTGTAGCTGTTATCATCAAAGAAGGGCAACTTGATACAGCTGAAAAGCCACAAAAATGATAGGACAGAGCTGTCTGATTGTGAATTTTATCAGAAAGAACCCAAAAATGCCATAATTAATATGATACTTTAGTTCAGTTTCTCACTTTCTCCTAGACCTTACCACACCTGCTGGCAGAGCTGAAAAACAGATAACTTATCTCATTCTCTGTTTGCCAGTGGAAAATCAGAGCAGTTGCCATATACCAGCTATAGGTAGTTGCATCTAATTGTATCAGCACAATAAAAACAAAAGAGAAGTTGCAATTTTCACTCTTTTTTTCCCCCTACAAGACTGCTAAACAACCCGTATTTAAATTTACACAAGTCTTAAATAGTCAGTACTTCTTAGTTTTTAGTTAACAGATTGGTTTGGATTACTGACCAGATAACACCTACCTTACAGGCGTGGAGAGAAACATTATTTTACTGACATTTGGGTGCTACCCATAGCTTTTAAATGACACTTCATTTTCCCCAAAAGGTCATTTCAACCTAACTATTTTTCATTACAGAAACATTCAGCCTGACAGGGTCACTGAGGGGTAAAGTCAGAAATGTCTTTGTGGTGGCTCACAGCTCATGCTCACCAGCTGACCTGCCAAACTGCTCTTCCAGCCTCCCACAGCTCTCCCAAGCATTTTGGAGCTTCTTTCAGGGCACGACCACGCTGCTAAACCTGTTGGCTTGGGTTGTCTTCTCAAAAAGCATTTGGCCACATGAGCTGCCAGGGATGAGTAAGGATTGCTCTCCGGTTGCACCGAAAGGTCTTGGCTCTTCTTGGGTGGCTGTTGGAGGTAGTTCGGTAACTGCTGTGCAAAGGGGCAGGTGGGCCCATGGGGTGCCTGACCTTCCCTCCAACTAAATCACCACGGCTCCCTCAGAATTGCAGCATTGCCTCTCAGGGAGCCTGGCACGGCTCGGCAAAGGAGCCGCCTGCACGGCTCCCACCCCGCCAGCCCTTTTCACAGCTCTGCCAGCAAAAGGGGCCACAGAACAATGAAGAATTAATTGCAGCTCTGCACCCCCCTGATATTCCTCTTTATTTTTACTGTGAAGCCAGCTCAGAACATACAACCAACATTTTGCTCAAGAGATGCGTGCTCCCTGCGGTGTATCTTCCCGGAGCAAGCGGCTGCATTCCCCTTGTCTCACCTTGGCTTCAAAGTTGCACATTACAAATGCCAAGGGCTGTGTTTCTGCCCAGCAAGCCTCCACGCATGCAATGCTCCAGAACAAAACTCTCAGAAAAGGATCAGGGCAGCTCTCAGAAATTCGCTGTTCCCAGTCTGGGCCTGGAGCCCCCATTTTCATGCTTTGGTGACAAATTTCAGTCAATGCCAGCAAAGGAACGTCACTGCTTTGCTCCCAGGCATTACGGTGGGGAGTGGAGCACTCAGTGCCACGATCTGGCTGTGACATTTCTCAGCCTGCTGTCCTGTAATGGGGTGGGTGAAAAAAACACTTGCTGAGGATTTTTTCCTCTTCTTGTCTAACCACACACTCATGCTGCTCAGCCACCCAGCAGATTTGTTCCACTTTCTGCTGCTCAGAAGAAATGCTCGTGTTTAGCTGACTGATCTCGTGTGGACACAAAAACCTGACCCAGCTCCTACAATCACTGAAAACACTCTCGCTGGCTTCAGCTGCTTTGGTTTAAGTCCTTCAGGAACTGGAAAAGCACTGAGATTTTCTGAGAGGTTTTGGTACTGTCATAGTTTCCCTCCAATATAGGAGCAGTTTCTTAAACCTCCAACCCATCAGACCTTTGTCCTTAAACTCTAATTATGTTTAATTCCCTATCTGCAGAGAAAGACTTGACTTTGTGGCATTATTAAAAGATGACAACAAATTATTAAAAGAATGATCAAAAACGGATAAGGAGCTGAGGAAACAAGTTCTTTCTGGTCAAAAAGATCCTTACTGACCCCTGAGTTATTAGTGTTACTTCTCTCAGTCTGATCTTGCTCTCCTTTCGTGTATATGTTTTGGGGCTACTTCAGCAGGCTCTATGAAGCAGGTGCGGGAAAGCAAAGCAGATAGAGCGAGAGCTGCTTGTGGTCAAGTCCCTGGGCTGTTTCCCTGCTCACTGTGCTGGGAGAGGGACGGGGTTGATACTTCTGTGATCCCTGTGTGCCGATGGCAAAACACGCTGCAGAATACACAGATTAAACCACGCTCTTTCCTTTTTCAGCTGGCAGATTTTGTACTGCTGTGGGCGTTGAGGGATGACTTAACATGCTGGGACATATCCCTGACCAGGCTGGCTCCACGGATTTTCACAGGGCAGCATTAAGGATTGAACTGTGACTTTGATGTGGTTTGTCGCTGAGATAAGCCCCAGCCTGCCTTCTCCAAGCCCCGCGCCTCACACTTGCTTTCCTGTTCATGCTCTGCACCTTGCAATGCAGACAGATGAATGACTTGAGCAATGCTTCCTTAGTTTTTCTTCTGCTTGTCTCACTCAAGACTTTCAGTCAGTTCTGCTGGTCTGGAAATTATTTTTAATTAAGAAAAGCAAGCCCAAAAAAGTCTGCTTCTAATACTATTTTGAGCTGACTCCATCACAGAGTCAGAGTTTATGTCACCACAGAGTGCAAGGGAAAATACACAGGAAAACATCAGACTAAGTCTATACCAGCTGCAATTAAGCGTAGTTATAGTTATTTCCTAGGAGTAGGACTTTACTAAAAGCACCCTTAGTGCTAGCAACAAAACTATTTAAAGTTTTCAGTCTGTTTTAGGTGCTGTCCTGACCACAAGGAAACAAAACTAGCATAGTCTATTTCATTTTTCTGATAGAAATAATGGAGGATGTTACTCACCACAGGCAAAGATTACCAAGATGAACTTCCATGCACTCCTCCCCATGGCCAGCACAGCTGCAGGTTGGAGAGGTGCTGCTTCTCACTGTGGAACGGGTGGAAAGAAAATCAAGGTTTCCTGGGGACTGAAAAGTTTCACTTGATGCAGGGAGTGCTCAGTCACATGGCTGGAAAGGAGGTGGAGAGAGAAGGGGAGACAGATGCTTCTTGTCTGTAAACTACCGCAGAAGGAAATACATGATGGTTAGGAAAGAAAGTGAAAACAGAAAGGACTGCTGGGCTAACTGGGGGCAGGACAGACTCTCACTCTGCAGCTGAGTCCTGGGGCTCTGCAAGGCCATGTAAAGTGTAGAATAAGTCAACAGATTTAATAATAGAATGAGTTACCTGGAAAATATGAGATGCAACAGAGCTGCTCAACAGGCCATGAACAGTGTTTCCAGCTTCCCCCACTGTATAGCTCCAACCCAGGATTGGTTTGAAACCCAGTCAAGCTAATCAGTAGAGACAAGTTGAACAAAAGATGAAAAATCAGCAAGAAGCAGGTGCTTTGCTGGCAAAAGATTAAAACATGCAGAGTTTATAGAGACAGATGTGTAATAGTTAATTGAAAAACTTGAGGCTTTTCTTAGAATTGTGTAAATATGGGACTTCAAGGTAAACTGAACAAGAGACGACTGACCCGAGGCAGACCTTGAAATCTCAGAGATGAGAACTGGGACCAGACAAGACGAGAGAACTGAGACAAGAACTAATTAAAGGACTTTGATGAACGATAAGACCTGGGAACCGAGATTCGACTGAAAACTTTCAAAGATTTTGGACTGAGATAATGGGTGGTAAAAAGGTATATAAGACTGAGAAACTTTTGGAGGGTTGCCATTCACTGTGGTAGTGGCTCAACTCTGAGTTGTTAACAAAGCAAACCTAGAGAAACCCATGACCGAGGATTCTTTGACAAGCAGCCTTTGCTGGCTGGTTCGGTCCTGCTCCAAGGACTGCGCTTGTTGAAGGTGGATCAGCCGGGATGGGTCACCTTTAGTGTTGCACCCAAACACACTCCTCAGCAAATAGCAACGCCCTACCCATGTCCCGTGAAGTGCCTCCTGCAAACCACGCCAAGCTGGGACGGGAGCTGTACAGGCAGGTCCTGGCACGCGTAGCTGCACACCGGAGATCTGCAAGAGGAGAGCGTTACACCGGCTCACGTGTGTGGCTGGATTTCCAGCCCTGGGCCTTTGCCATGGGGCCTGCTCGGGGTGGGGGGAACAAAGGAAGCCCCACACCTGGGATCTGGTGTGGTCCTAATTCTTCATTTTCTCATACCAGTATTGCACTGCAGTAACATGATAAGGCCAATGACTTGAAAACTCAAATGAGGTTAAGTTTGCCCGCAGAAATCTGGATACCAGCTGAAATTAGTTCCAATTTATTTTGCTCTCTCTATGTGCATTGTGTTTCTACATTCTCATTTTTACCTGCTCGCCCTTGATCCACAACGTGCATTTGGGTCAATTAACACTCCCTAAAAACCACTGGTAGCCAAAGGTATGCAGATATCTTGGGATTAACTATAATAAAGTTATCCTACAACTTCCTTGCCTTATGGCTGCAGCATTAGCATGCTCAACTCTCAACTGTCTGTGTGAACCTTTGAACTCTTCAGAGTCCCAGGGATTCAGGAACACCACTAAGGGAGATAGGTAAAGGAGAAAAACACTGTGCCTTTTGTGACACAGGTGTTGGACAAATAAAGTTATATCGGACAGATGTGTGGATTTTTTTCAGCTGTCGTGATGTGCCTTTACTGATACTTATTTATTCTGAATAGAAAGAAAGCTCATTTGACTTGTTACTTCATATAGAGACATCAACCACAATGTTTTGTACTAGTTATGATTTTTATAAATTTCAAAGTGTGGTTCTACACAGGTGAGGATGGCCTAATTACAGGAAGTTCATTTGCACACTTTTTTCTTGTAATAAATTCATACATTCTGTCTTGACTGGAAAAAAAGGACAGGTAATTCTGTGCTCTTTTCCTGTCTGATTATCTCTCATCAGTCACAATATACAAATACATCATTATCAACACCATGGAAAATATGTAAGAAAAACAAACTGTACCAATTCTCAGCTGGGGAAGAGGAAATCTTAGCAGCTATTTCAGCTCCAGCTGCAAGAAGAAATACACAATTTGGCTCTTTTTTCTTATTATTCTTATATATTTCTAATCATATATATATATTTGAAGTCAGGCTTTGAGTATTTTTGGAAAGGAAGCACATGGCCATTCTCATACCCAATCCTGTTTGAAATCTCAAGAGTCTAAGAAACTTATGGATAATAAAATGGCTTTTCATCACATACACAACCAGAATATAAGACACACGCACAGCTTTGTTGTCACTGGCAAGAAAAGCCAGTGTTCAGACGTGGTTTGGCCGCAGCCATTTATGATCAAGACAACGACCATTGGTCTAATTCTCCACCCAGTGGGGTTAGACGTGAGAGGAGAGGATCAGGCCTGATTACATTTTAGCCTGGTTTACTAAAACCAAAACTTGCATATCATGGCAACTGCCTCTCTATCTGTTTGTGATTACCGTCAGTAAGGAAGGAGTCTGTTGCCCAACTACACCTGACTGAGTAGAGGGCAGAGTTCTGAGGATGTGAAGTTTCTGCAAGTTTCACAGAAGACAGCAGCAGAGCAGAGGGAGGAGATCCAAGTCAAAACCTCAGCCTGGAGGGCAGGTCTCACTAGTCCGGACCCAGAGAGAACAGCCAGGCAGCTGGCACGGACTTGCTGGTCACAGCATAGATTTACCTTGGATCTTGTATCTTCTAGAACTGAACCTTAGTAGCAACCATTACTTTTAAATGACTTTCTGGTCACTATATAATCTCCAAACAACACTGAAATAAAATCCATATTTGAAAACTATGATTTTTAAGTCCATCTACCTAAAAATGATGGTGTCAAAGACCTACGTACAGAGTAAGTATACTTAACGTACACATTAGTCTTGCTGGACATTACCAAATCATATTCTAGACTGTACATGAAGATTCATTCCCTTAATTATCACCTTGCTTGCCAGAAACACACTAATTAAAAGACTAGCCTGTGTACTATTAAAAAAAAAAAAGTCATCAAACCCCATTTTGTCCTGTCAGCAAAGCCAGAAGGTTACTTCTTGTTGGCTGCTCTCAGACTTGTCAGCAGCCTGATCTGTCATTGAACCTCATTCTTTAGAAAAGCCAGCCCAGCAGTGCGGCACCATCTCACTGACATTTGCACCGCAGGCACCAAGCAGGCAAAGGGCCCAGGTCACTCCCCAGCAGCAGCTGCAAATGTTGCAGTAGGGTCGAGTTTGGAACATGGAAAGAGAAACAGGTAGATGCCTTTGGCTCACCAGCATTGCAGGAAAGTTAAAGACATAATTAATGGTTGTGGGCTCCCTGCTCAGGTTCAGTAGTGTCCGAGGGTGGCTGTGATACAATCAGCTCCCAAAGACTGCTGAGACCGAAGTGCTGTGCCACTGCTGCATGCAGCCACGGGGCAGTGAGTGACTCAAACTTTGGTCCAACAGGATAAAACATGAGATCTTGGGGAAAAAAAATAAATAAAATATTGTTTTTAAAGGCAAAGCAGGGAGGAGAATTGTTATAATCCAGCCCATACCTTGCAGTTGTCATGACGAGATGGTGAGCTGGGAGAGAGGAGACACTTCTGCAGCAATCCTCTTCCCTGCTCCAGCTCTAGACTGCCCCACAGGATGCCACCACTGACACTCATGGAGGGCACAGCAGGACATATGGAGTTGAATGTTTTGCTCTTCTCTGGAGGGTCCCCAATTTTTGCATACATTCTAAAATTTAGCATCGGAATTTGACACGTGGAAAATCCAATAGCTCCCATTTTACAGGAAGGTATCGAGGCACCGGGGGATATAGGACTAGCACACTGTCACCCTGCACCCAGCAGAGATAGGAAATGGACTGACAATACCTGATTTTCCATCTTCAGTTCAAACAGATACTTCCCACTGCCATTTCACTGTTAGAATGAGATTCCTCCAAAGAAACTCCAAAGTGCAGGTTTGCATCTTTCCATCTGTCCGCCATGTCACAAATCCTAGTTTTGGCAGTTTCGTATACCCAGGGTAACCCTTCCCCATCTCTCTCCATCTCACACACACACACAAAAGCTTACTATATTTATTTATGTGCAATCAGAGCTCCCTCCCCCTTTCCTCTCCTATGCTTAGGGCAGGGGTAGACAGAAGCACTTTTATCAGGCAGTGCAAAAATTACTGAAAGTAATACAGAAACCAAAATTAACTCACTTTAGGGAGAGGATAAAATAATTGCACTACAAGAAAACATCACTGCATATTTCCTTAGGGGACTGAAAAGAACCAATTCTTCCTTCAAGATGCTCATAACTACAGCAGACGAAGAGGATTCATGTTCCTGAGAGCCTACGTGTCATTTTTAAGGTAAATGACCAGCACAAAAGAGACAAACTTTTATCTCTGTAGGACAAAATTAGCTTCCAAAAAGGTACAGAACTCTCAGGTCCTTCAGTCATGAACGGAAAATGTCAGACATCACAGAGCGTAGATATTGAAGGTTAGAAGAAACATGGGAATTAACCACCACAGTGCAACTCATAATTAACCAACAAGCCTTCACAGGCAAACAAAATCTGAATAAGCCTTTACCTTCTCCAAGGCTTTTTCTTGAATGGGACTATCTACCTGCTTCACAGCTGTCCTGACTCACACACTAAGATACTTGCAATGCCAGCCTCCACTGAGACACAAAGAAAAACACTTGGGTCCCTGCAAAGATGATAGCAGAAATGATACAGACTCCTACTATTTTGCTCAGAGGCTCGGTTACTAAAGGGTGGGTTTTGGTTTTGCTTCATCTCCATTTTTAGTGCTTTCGTGCCCTTCGTTATTTACATAGAGCACCACTAGTCTCAGGGTTAAACAAAAAATCCCTAATAGTGAAAGCCAGTCACTCACTCTTGAGCTT